AGAACTTTTGGTTTGCTAAGGTCGCTAAATCTTCGCTCGGTACTTATTGGTGTTTTGATACTTCGATTTTCATATTTAATTATTTTAATTATACTTAATACTTTATTTAAATTTCTATTTATCTTATAAATAGACGATAACTTTAAAATCATAGACCAAATATCATTGGTTCAATATTACATATCGAATGTGTAGAAGCGATGTTGAACTCCTACATTAGTATTAGTTTATAGAACTACTATGAGGCAATCATATTCATATCTTTGAGCAAACTATATGGGGACGGGTTATTTGAACGTTTTTAGCTCAGTTAACCATTAAGTTTGAAATATCTTCCTAATCTGACAACATGATGGATCCAACAATCATTAAAAGAGGTTGAGTTTAATAAATTGGTTTATTTCATCTTTTTATGTATTGAAATGAATTTGTAGAGCTAGGACATGTCTACATATACACTCTACACAATATATACTATTAGCACGATAAAATTGTCATCTCATTTCAAATTTCCTACAACGAGAGAAAAAGTATGAATGACATTTTTGTATTCGCCATTATTTATCTTTATTTTGTATAGAAAATAGACAAGTATTGGGATTTGAACTAATGTATCTTCAAACACAGACAAAAGTCATAACCATGATTTTCAATTCGTGTATGACTCTGTTGGTCGAACCAATTCTATCTAAATCTGAGTATCTCAGCGGGTGCCGAAGGCCTTGTTGGTTGTCTACTTAGGATGGGTCAAAGTCGAGTTTGTCTGTCTTAGTGGGAACTCCAACCGATTTAACCAACTGATTCGAGCACCAGCCACTTCAAAATGAGGATGTTTTCAACAATTCGTATACGTAGCTACACTGTCATATCATCCTTTTACATATCACAGATCCCTACAACATGAAATATCACAAACCATGTTCGACTATCCCATCGTCTCTTCTTCTTACTTAGATTTGAGAGCCTACAATACACGACCCAACCATCTCAAAAGCTATCACAATCCCGCAATAGCAAATTTCATTTTTCTCGAGCTGCATAGTCATAGAGCCAGTCGACCTCATCTCATACAGATATGAAGCAAAAATTATTAAGAAACATGCATTTGAGTTGAAACTTTAGGTGACTAACAAAGGCCAAATTCCTTATTTTAATTATAATTTAATACTTAATTAAATTCCTATATATCTTATAAATAGAGGATAACTTTAAAACCGCGCCCCAAATATCATTAGTTCGAATATTCCATATCAAATTGCAGTGTTGAATATGTAAAAGTGATGTATAATTCTTAAATTAGTATTAATTTTTAAACCTACTATTACATAATCGTATTCATATATCTTTGTGTAAACTATATGGGACTGGTTCTTTGAACATTTTAGTTCGGCTAACTATCAAATTTTAAACCTTTTCATATTCTGGCATGATTGGATCCAACAATCATTAGGAGTTTAATAAGTTGGTTCATTTCACCTTTTTTCAATATGCTAATGAATTTGTAGGGAAAAGACATGTCTTTATATACACTCTACACAATATATAATACTAAAATGAGAAAATTGTTGTCTCATATCAAATTTCCTACAACGAAAAAATGAAAGTAGGAATTATATTGTTCCTTCATAATTATTTTACAGAAACTACAAACTTCCAAAATGCATAAATTTTTGCTCAAACTAAAAATCAAAGCATCGAAAGTTATAGCCAAATCACTTATTTGAGAGATTTTTCTTTCTAGAAACAAAGTAAAATGAAACAAGTTATAGCCAAATCAACAGCTTTGGCTCGAAGACGATGACCTGCTTCTTCGTGGGAGAAAGAAATACATGCGCACCATCAGAGATCTGGAGAGCAAAGATGAAAGGATACACTACGAGTTCGTGAATGAGTACTGTGAAATAGATCATCAAATCACGGGCTGGGGGCTAAATAAAATGATAGGAGGTTAGTTAGATAGTCGATGACATAGAATTTTCCATTTTGGTACATCTACAGGAGATCTCCAGAGTCGGCTTAGGAAACAAAGAATCAAAGGGAAGAAAAAGATATAGACTCTTTTATTAACAGCTAATTGAGTGCGTGGTGTGGATAAACGATGCATTCATTTCTCTTTTCCTTTTTTAAAAAAATAAAACAAAATAGTATCGTAAACTTTTTTTGGGTTTCTATTCACCTTTTGAAGGTTCTTTTTCGGGCCTAATCAGATTATTTAAAGCTATTATTCTACTAATATAATTTTATTTTTTTCCACTGCATTGATGTAATTTTTTGACCAAAACATGTTAGTAAGTTAAATAATATATTAATTAAAATAATATAATATTCAACCTTTTTCGGCGCACTCAAATTATAGTTCTTGAAGAGTATACACTCTTATGCTCCCATTCTAGCTCCTGCTCTAGCTCCCGCTCCGCAAATTGGTAAGATAAATCCGTCAAGTCAATTATATTAACAAAAAGACTACTGGAAGAACTCGCATTTCATCACATATTGTCTTCCCTCGCAAACACCCCCATGCTCAATTTCCACTTGGTCGTTACTCATTAATTCAACTTTGACACACATCTCCACCATAGGAGTGTGACCTTTATCGCGTGACGAATACATGTTGTTGGAGTGCATTTTAGGAGCTCGAAGGAGGATAGCAGAAAATAGCAGATAGAGAAACAAATGTAGATAGTCCGGTCGAAGAAGAATATTATTCATATGTAGATGAGATTTTATATAATTTATAGATATATGAACATATAATAATTTTTTCATATATCCGGGCAAAAGCGGACTAAAACAATTAGACCATTAACTCTCAACCCACTTAATTGACAGGGCCAACGGGCTAAACCAGGTTGACAACCATTGATACTTAAATCCATATATTCTAAAAATTTTGGGTTCCAATTTTTATGATTGAGTCAAATCGATCAACAATTGTGGACTTTTCAGAGAGTGGTTGAAATTCAAAAGTCGGTCTTCAAGGTTCTTTCGTGACGGACAAGTTTTTGCATTTAATTATTGTTAGGTCGAAAGAAGAGAAAGCGGGACATATGGAGGATGAGATTGTGGCTATTAATTATTGGGAGTTGCAGATGGAGAAGATAAGCCATAAAAGAGATTAAATTTAATATGATAATACGTATATACTATATATTACAAGGGCATGTTTGATGTGAAAAATAAAAGAGATAGATTTGAGAAAAATGGATAATAGATTGACAATTTATGCTATTAACTCCACATGAAAAGTCAAAGATTGTATTGATAGTGTAGAATTTAAGCTTTATAATTAGTATTTAATACTTAACAGCCTCGACTTATTATTCAATCAAGCATATACACTAAATTCTAATAATTTATACAATAAGTATTATGTTTTCGTGTTCTTCCATATTTGAGATTTTTAGGCATAATCTTTTCGTTATTCTCTTAATTTTTTTATTTACCTTCAATTCCTACCATTCTTGATGACATATATTTTCTTTCAACTCCAACTTCATATCCGATAATAAAAAGTCCACAAATTTCTTCTAAGATATGAAAAAAATACACATCAGTAAACTAGGAGGACTTGATAAAAAAGTACATATTAACTCATTATTGGTAATGTCATAATCATCAAATACCACTAATATTACTTATAAATAATGAATTAACTATTTTATAAACCTCAACTTATTTAAAAACATGAAGAGATTTATCAAAATAAAATAAAATTAATCCGACCAACGAATCTGGTTAATATTTTAAATATATTATAAATTAACCAATATTAATGATAAAGCGAAACTCATTCGGCTAAGGGCCGAGTAAAAGCTAGTTAGAAACATAGAAATAACTGAGTTGGCTAGCTAGGGCGGTTGAAAAGCAACAGAACAACTCCATCTATAGTCGATACTTATTTTCTTATCAATTTGGATAGGTATTTAGTAACTAAAATAAGATTTTACAATTATTAAGATCGATGCGAGCGACACTTCTGCTAACGGAGTATAAAAAGTACTAGTGTTCTGAAGTGATCCCTAACTCATCCGATGAAGATCCCATGGAGGAAACTGCATGTGGGCAGCATTTCTGTCTGTACTGATGCGGGGATTCTGGATGGTGGGGGAGCGGGACTTGGGGTGGTGGTCAGGGACTCTAATGGAGCCTTCTTGATGGCAGCAGCGAAAAGGGTACAAGGGGTGTGGTCGGTGGAGGCAGCAGAAGCACTCGCGGCAGAGATGGGGGCACAGATTGCTTATCAGTTCCATTTCCGTGACATCATCCTTGAGACAGACTGCATGACGTAAACCCATAAGCTGGGATATTCGGAGACTATACAGGATGAAACGAGGTTAGTATGTCGAAGTACAAGAAGACTTTTGAGCGCTACGGGAGACATTTCATGGCACTACATCAACAGAGAGGCAAACGAAGTGACGCATGCATTGGCTCACACGAATACACGATGAAACGAGATAATGATATGGATAGACATTCCACTGACCTTCCTGGTTAACCTGTTACAGCAGGATATTGTATCTGCGACTTTTGATTAATTTTGTTCAAGCAGATTACCCTAATAAAAAGATATTTTCATAATAGCAAATTCACCTCCATTATCATTGATCAGTCAGAGAATTTTGTTGTTTTACTTATTGTTGGTAGTGGCGTTTGTTCTTGTTTTCAAGAAGGAAAATAAAATTCCTGAATCAGGTTAAAGATTCACGCAAAGGCAGCTCCATAACTTGAACATCTTGATTGAGAAGGGAAACAAGAGAACTACGGGTGAAAGAACTTCAAACTAATTGCAGAAAGAAAAAGAAAAAAAAAAACACAAAACAATAAAATTAAAGATAAACCAATACGGTACCGTTCCTATCCTGAACTAAACTAGAACGAATCAATTCAAATCGACCTTGTAAACTTCCGTCAAATCGGGTCGGTACAGCCCGAAATTCTGCTCTTCCCCCTGCGCCTTCAAATCCTCATTGAACAGAGCAAACAAATACGTCTCGATTTCACTCCCCAGCCCGCCTCGGCGTCCCGCCGCCGGAACGGGCCTTCGCCGCCACGTTGTTCACATACGTCCTCGCGTTATCCACCGTCGCCACGTCAGCTCCGGCGCTCGGCCACCCTGTCTCCGACACCACAACCTTCACCGCCTCCCCCTTCACCTTCTCCGCCGCAGCGTACATCGTGTCCACCATCGCGTCGAACAAACCCAGGTACTCCAAATTTCCGTCGACCACCCTCTTCCCGCCGCCGCCGGCCGCCGAATTCCCCAACGCGTATTCCCGATCGATGTTCGTCGGGTCGCTCTTGTAGGCAAAGTAAGGGTACACGTTGGCCAAGAGCGGGTAACCGTTCGCGGCGAGGAATTCCACCACCGGAGCGACGTACGGCTTCGATTCGTCGGAGAATTCACCCGCCGACGGGGGAAACGATTTCCCGATCGACGCGAAGCTGATCGCCGTGCTGACGGGACGTCGGTGATTTGTGCCGATTTCAGAGCAGAGTCGAGATTCTTCATCGCGTCGAGCACGAGATGGGCCAGTGGGCCTGGGATGACCTCGTTTCCCGCCGTAATGTACCGGAACTTCAAACGGGCCCGAAAGGGGACTACATGGGCCGAAACCCACTGGGCCGCGTAAGATGGGTTGCTGGCCAGCTGCTCCAGATCGCTATTCAGCGTCCCAAGAACCACCTCCATCCCGCCGGCGTTGGCCAACGCAGTGAGCACGTCTTGGTTCGGGTCGAAGATCCGGACCCGGTTCACGTTCCTCGACTTCAGTAGGCTGACGCATCTGTCCGGCGACGGGAGGTTGTCTCCCAACAGGCCGTAGTTGATCCCGATGCTCGTCGCTCCACCAACTAGATAAATTCAACGGCTAAACAAATTAACAAATAACGAAGGAAAAAACACTTGTTCGTTCAACAGTATATCAAATTACCTTGCGAATGGAACGAAATGAAGCATGTAGCGAGAGAGATGAAGAGAAGGAAGGCGACATTGTTAGCTGCTTCTTCTTTTTTTCTGCTGGGATGGATGATGGGTAAGAAGTGAGAAGTAACGAAGATTAGAGAGCTATTTATGTAGGTGAAGAATACTTACACGAGGAAATGGGTAATTGGAGGAGGAGATCCTTTGTGCTTGATTGTAATCAATTAGAGGTTAATTACAGAAGCAAATGAAAGATTGGGGAAGGAATATATGATTTGTGGGATGAAATTTTCGTGAAGTGAATACTTATGGATAGTATTAATGATTTAAGTGAAGACTTGGTAGTTTATTTCTGAAAAGAAGCCCAAAGGTTTAGGGAAGGAAGCTTTGTCATTACCTTGTTGATGTTGAAGATAAGGGTCAAGCTTAAATATTTGCTTTGTTCGATGAGCTTCAGATTATGGAAAGAATGATATCAATTGGAAGATGACAGATGGAGAAATAATAAGAAAAGGAAATGAGAGATTAAGAAGATGTTTTAGTTACCAAAAGTTTCCCCGGTTAGGGAATAAAAAAAAGATCCGCCGGCGATTAGTTTGATGTTTACTATTACGTTAAGAATGGAAGGTGGGTAAGAATTTGCTTTTGAAACATTATTCAACGAACAATTGCTCCTTGAGTTCTCATGAGTTTAAGTTAAGGGAGATGGTGAAATATAGGTAATAAAACTATATACCATTTCAATCCCAAATTACATGTTGAATGGGGGCATTTGATAGTTTCTCAACCCCTCGGAAAACGGATCCGAATTTTCCTGTTAACAATATTTGAATTGAACGAATAAACTAGGCAAATACAAGTTTGCATTTTCGTGATTCTCTGTTTTTTTTATTAGAAATCATATCAAATGTTCCTTTGTTCGAGGAATACTTTGATGATGTTGCGATAAAAGATTATTTGTGAAGAGCTTCAGAACAAATTTATTATTGATTCCTTATACATTGTGCAACGAATGTGTACATATTAGTTCATTTTCTAGGAAAGAGGACGGTACGTTCGGTATTTTATTAATTAAAAGAACACCAACTTCGGGGAAAAATATACTAAATTAATGGATCATTAATTATAAATCAATACAAGAACAACTGCCACTTAGTTGCACCACTCACTTGGCACATGAGATGTGACTATGGACAAACTAATATCATGGTCCATGGACGACTATAACAAATATCGTAAGTATGACTCTAGTCGACAATAAGTCATATTTCCGATCGTAACTACTAATTATGCAGCGATGGACTATGATTTTTCTATGTAAAATGACATACAAATTATGTCACCGATATCTATATAAACTGAACGAGAGCTTTATGTTAATGACGCCATTAACAAATTATACCACTCCGGGGGAAAAAAAACAAGAAAGTAACACGTTTTCACTTCTCCTAAACTACCCACCTTCATTCCTTCAATCTTTAACGCTACTAACCTGCTAATTCATTTTAGTTTATGTAATCAAGAAACCAAAAAAAAACCCGGTTTGATTTTTGCCAAATGATGTCTCTTCCCCTTGGCCCTTCCCATCTGCTTCCCTTGTACATAGAAAAATCCAAACACTCTCCCCTTGCCGTCCGTCCATGAAAGAAGATAGCTCTAAATTTATCGCATGAGAACATCAAGGAACAAGCTGAGAGTCTAGTCAAATACCGCAACTAGATAATGACACCATAAGATGCGATTCGAATATGTTAAGTTAAAAGGCCTAAAAACTGTAACGAAATCAGTCTATGATGAAAGAACGGATAAAACTAGAAGTCATGGAAGAGCATAATCGCGTCGTCGAGCTTCATCAGCGAGGAATGGATGAGTAATCTGACGTTTCTCAGTCTATCAAACTTCTGTTTGTCAGGCCCCTCGCGTTTATCCGGCGGCAGATTCAAGACCTGAGAACAAACAACCGATGGAGAGATCATGAATTGTCATGAAACAATGCCACTTTTTGGCCTGTAATCAACAACATTATAACAGGATTACACTAACTAACCTCCTTATTTTGGTCGATCTCATGAGCTAAACGTAGGTTCAGATTCAAGGCGGCATGAAACATCTCATCCAGGATAGTCTCCCGAAGAAGCCGCTTATTTACTTTCCACAGTAAGTAGGAAGAGCCGCCGTAGCTAGGACCAGTTTGTACCGCCCACAACCAGTTTCTGCAAATACAATAGCATTTTATAGCGGGAGGAAGAATATTCAGATGTTTGCAGAGGACCAGCAACTGGTCATACGTTTTAGGGTGGTGCAGAAACCAGTTTGTATGAGGAAAAGGTGAGAGTTACCTCCATGAGCAGGTATCCATCCTGCCACATTTTGAAAAGCGTTTTCGATGTCTCCTTCTTCTCCGCAAATATCCTATCAGCAATCTACATGAGGGAATGAAGCGAATTTATGAAACGGAAGTCCAGAACCTTCATTGAAAGGAATTACTACCGGTCACAAGTCTCAACCAAAACTGTAAATCCACAGTATGATTGTCGAAGATTTCCCGACTCTTCATCATTACCTTATCTGTTTCCATGAGGCAGCCAGCCCTAAACAGTAAACGGAAAATTTTATATGCGGTCTCTCCAAATCTTTTCAAAACAATGGACTCAATCTGCAGTGTCAGAAATATTGGTGAACATCAGTATCCCAACCACTACTTCAACCATCTGGGGCAAACAAACAAATGAAAACACACCTCTTCACTCTGAGCTGCTTCAGTGATTTTTGTGAAATCTACACAATGAACATGTCAATCATCACTAACAATCAAGAATAATCAAACTCAAAAGAAAACAATTAAGGAATGGACTATTAATAATCTAAAGAAGTGATCAAGCCAAACAGGACGTACCTATACTATATGATTCATCATCCGTTTTTACAAAGGTTGGGGGACAGCTCAACTCTTCAAGGCAAGTTCTGACATGATCAAAAGTCATACTGTGATTCTTTTCGTTCTTCACAACTTCTTCATATATAGTATTCAGCGATAACGGCACTGCAAAAGTCCTCCACCAGAATCACGAATCAACAAGGGAAGAGTATATAATAAAATACTTGTCTGCAAACAACTGTAGCAATTGAATGTACAAACAGAAACAAACCAAACTTTTGAAATAAAATTCACCTGAGTTAGCAGTTTTTACTTTGTCCTCTTCAGCTCTAGATGCCTCAAGCATTGCACTCAGAACAGTTGCAGCCGCATCATCGAAGCGTACTTTTATGGTATCGACACAGGTCTACAGCATAATAAAAAACCAGTATAAGATAGTTTAGGCAAGATAGCAAGACTAAAATGCTCAAGAACAAGTGGAAACGGTAAGATATTTTGCTATTGTGAAATTACCAACCAAATGAAGGTTAAAATAAAAGGATTCACAAGGCTTAATTTATTCAGTTCTCAAAGCTTGCACATGTTCATTTTACTCTAACATGAACTAAACTGCAAGGTTATTACTTCTCTTGTTTGTCATTAACACATATATCATTCACTACAGATCAAGTGTCATGGAGCATGAGATGGTAAATCCTCTGTTCTATGGAAAAGGGTAAGAAATAGTCAGTTTCCCATTCACCAAAATAATGACATGGAGCTTGATCTTGCTACGCAGATCAAACGACAACAAGAGAAACACAGGACCAAATTCCAGACAATACATGCATGCTTGTATAATTTGACTGTGCAAAACAATAAAACTAACCTTGTGCCGAAGACGCCGAAGCAATTCCTCAAAATTTGCACGCCAATTACATTCGACCTCTTCTTCAAGTGCCGTATCAGACTCCAAATCATGAAGCTTGCGCTACAAAAGCAAACTCCAATGATTGAATGGTCGATGCAGATAGCTTTAGTAACTCAACCTAAAATACCAACCTTTTCCCCAACATCTTTACTCGGGGGCTGATTCACATTTTGCTGGTCATCCGCTACTTGGTCTGCGTTAGGTACAAATGAGAATCTTCTCATCGCTGAAGGCATTGCTACAGCCATAACACGCTGCTCTAGGGTTAATGGCTCCACCATTACCTATCATTTCCATAAAGAATAAAACTTAGTACTACATTTCCAGGACAGAATTCTGGTATCTACATGTTATTGGTATAACTAATACATTAAGATAGTGAGGGGGAGAACTCCAAATTCCTGCAGTATAATTCGCTAAGAAATATACACTGTTGCTGAAAATTCCATCGCTCAAGTTTCTCTTCTGGCAAGATACCAATACCTTGGTAGGACTTAACAGTGCCAGTTGCTACACAATATGGTCATCTATAAACATTATCATGAATTAAGAGTCAGATTTTGTAAAACACATCCCTTTGTTAGATTGCATAATCTATTCCTCCGCAAGTTCAATCGTTGCATGACGATTGTCACATAATAAACTTTCCAGAGTTCAGCAATAACCTTTGAAGATTTGGCACGCTTCTTTGTATCAGCATCAGGTGGTGGAACTAAAGGTTCAGGAGCAGGACAGCATTCAACGTAATGGGCCATCACAAGTTTACCAAGGTCTTCCTGCACTGTGTTGGTACCTGTTGATTCTCAATAAAAAAAAGTCCACATCAACTTGATTATATGTACATAATCAAACTGAATTTATCTTCAAATGACAATCACATATATGAAGACAAAAAACACAAATGACTGGTAGAGCTAAAGAGAACCTCAAGACTGTCTAAACAATGTATCACTACTAAACAAGATAGATCTCTGCTATTAACCATGTCAATTGAATACAACTCATTTCTCTTCGAGCACACCAAATGTTTAAAATATGGTTAGTCACTGAACGACCATAAGAGCAGCAACTTGAATTAAGAGGAGCAACATAAGTAAAGTTCGATATGATCCTATAAAAGAGGCATATGAGTCAAGGAGCACTTACTCTCCTTGGCATTTGCACCAGCTCTATCCACTATTTGCTTTACCGTAAGCCTACCATGTTCTAGCAAACCTCTGAATAGTTCCCCACACTGCAAATGCCAATCAACTATTATAAAAACATCTCATACTAAAAATACACCAACAACTTAACAAGGAACCAAGAACAAATACAAACCGAGCCACCAAGTTCCTTCGACACCACATCCATGAACTTGGAGAACCTCACACGATGAAGTATGTTGACAAACAATGCAATATACTGCGTGAGGGCTTTCCCTGGTTCTCCAGCATCCTCCCCAGATACTGTCACAGTCCAAACACCATCAAAATCAGCTACCTTTAACTTTTACCTCCATTGTTGAGGCAAATGATCAACCAGATGAACAAGTGTAAATCATCATATCAGTCACAATCATAGATGAAGCTACTCCTACGGGACTACCAAGAAACCATTACGGCATCGATTGAAAACAAAACTGAATTCATCAAGGAACAAGAAGGAGAAAAAAAAAAACTCACCGCTCTCTTCAAGGATGAAAGCCTGCGCGCAGTTGTGCTGGATCAAGACGAGCAAGCAGTTCCTGACTTTAGCCGGAGAGAGCTCGGTTCGTCGAACTATGGCTTGAAGTGTCAATGCTCCGTTGCGCAGTAGACATTCACAGACTTTCTGTTGTAGCAGAAAACGAAGAATTAAAACGGTCTTCAAATTGAAGGAGTAGCTTTACACAATCACAGAGAAGGTAAGTGACCGGAATCAGAAAACTTTACAGCGACAAGATTGCCGAACTGATTGGTGATGAGATGGACGGCGTATAGGATGCCGTGTTGCGACACCATTGTCTCCGTCCCCGACTGCTTCTGGCGGCTTTACTCCCTGGCCTCGGCAAAAGAAAAAAACAGGCGGTTAGGACTTGAGATGTCACTTTGGATCCAGCTTGTTAGCCCGCGGGTCAACCCGCCGGGCGACCCGGATCCGCCCGAAACCACTGTAAAAAACGGACGGTAAGCACCCAGTGACAGCTCTTTCGTTAGTTAACCCACCTTTTTCTAAAAGGGATTGTAGTAATTCTGGTTTTATACTACTTGGAATGGCTTTTTCATATTGAGCAATTCTGTCTAGTGGCATTCGATCACAGAATCCATTAACAGCTGCATAAATGGAGCGCCCAGGCACGGTCAGACCCGGAAAAGCCCGGTCAAACCGCTAAAACCGTCCAATTCGCCCGACCGGTCGATTCCCGAGAGGTGGGTATTCTGCGATGTCTCGGCTGATACTCAACGGAAAGCAAACAAGATGGTAGCGGGGAAGATGATTTAGTGATGAATTGATGAAACTCGGCTGGAAAAAGCAAGATCAGTTTGTGATGACTGACTTGTCTGAAACCCAGGAGGGAGAAGCAACGGGGAAGCTGAAGTCGACTGAACCCGGGGGGAGGAGCAGCAGCGGGGTGTGGGGGGAAAAAGTGGGGTTTTTGCGCTCGTGTGTGGCGGGGAGGGCCGGAGGGTTAGGTTTAGTGATGGCAATGGGTCGGGCGGGGCGGGTATCTCAATACCCATGCCCCGCCAGATACTCGTCCCGCCCCATGCTAGTACGGGTCGGGACGGGTAATATCCGCGCGGGTACGGGGCAGGGCGGGTCGACCCACTCTTACATGCTATTTGAGAAAAATACACGCACAATTTACTTTTTATTATAAAACGAAGGGGAAAAGACTTGATGAATGAATAATAGTGATAATATAATAAGTAATTGAGTCTATTTAGTTGAAAGATCAAGTTTAACTAGTTGAATCAAAGCCAAAATAGGAGATATATGAATGAACGGGGTAAAAAATTGACCTAGAATGGGCTAAGAATGGGGCGGGATGGGGCAGAGCAGGTCGGAAGTTACCCATGCCCCCCCCATGCTAATGCGGGTCAGGTAATACCCGCCCCATCGCGGGTTAGGTCGGGTATTACCCGGTGAGGCGAGTTCAAATTGCCATCTCTAGTTAGGTTCTTTTTAGAATTAATATATATAGTAATGGCTAATTGTAAGTAACCATTACAAAATCTAAATTATTAAAAAATGTTATTCCTATTCTAAATTATTCAATATGACAATTCTAGCACGAATTATTTTTTTGTTAGTGTTGATCGCTGTTGACCGTTAATATTCAATAGAAAATCCAGTCAGCATCGACATGGCATATGACCAAGGTTGTCAACCCGCAGGTTGACCCGCGGGTCGACCCACTTTGACCCTGACCTGATGAGAAAAACGGGCCGCACACACCGCCGGGTCGACCGCTATAAGGTACCGGGTTGAAGGTCAAATTGTGTCATTTTTTTTCTTTGGTTTGCGAAATGCGCATATTTTCCGATTTTTCTTTTCACCTAACTCAATCTTTGGAATCCTAAGTTGAATATTTGAATATTGATATATATAAGTGTGTGTGAATTTTCACTTTATGCTAGATCTAAGTACGATATGTTATTTTGGTGTAATATTATATGTTATAACTCATATGTTAGATAAGATTCGATATAATTTATAAGGATAAGTACAATATAATGACTCTTTCCAAATTTCCGGGCCAAACCGGGCTAAAACGGTTGACCCATTAACCCTTGACCCACTAACGCGACCGGGTCCGGGTCAACCCGCGGGTTGACAACCTTGCATATGACCGTTAATACTTCACAAAATTCAAGGAAGTCCTCATATAGCCACCCATCCAATGAAGTCTTGATATAGGTATGGAGTGTAAGGGTGGTAGGCTATCCTTTCTATAGGGTGTAGGGGTGAAGAAAACAACCCGCAAACGGACCCACCCATCCAAACCCCGTCCAAACCCCCCTTATTTATCATAAAATTAAAGTTTAAGGTTGGGTGAGAGTTTTCTTTTGTATAACATGCCTTTATTGGGTTGGGTGTGGATTTTGAGTAACACAACCCGTAGAACCCGACCTAACCCGTGTTGAACTATTGTCATAAATGTTCGTATCTAAACATACTTGTGTTGTAAATAAATATATTTGTGAGAAAATTAAGATATCTTGTCATATTTTTCTTGTGGTTTCTCTAACCTAATACATTCTTCAACTTAAAATATAGACGTAGATTTAATATAAGCTATGATTCATGTAACATCTTTCTTGTGTACAATTTTAGAAGAACAATATATTAGGAATGTGCTAGCTTATAATCGCTTTAGCTTATTTCGACAAATATTTATGGAAAAACTAGACATATGTTGAAATAAATTGTATTTCATTAAAATGCAAATAATATTTATCCATATTGATAGTTTTCACCTTGACTTATTTATTTTAATTTTTAATTTTTGTATGATATTTTTGTAGTGTAGAATAGGTGCATTTATTGTGTTGGGTTGGGTTTTTAATTAAAAATATCTCCAACCCGATCCAACCCAATTATTAGCAAAGCATAGGGTTCTAATTTTTTGGGTGGGTTTGAATAATATTTTTCAAACCGTAGTAGGGGTTGCAGTCAGTCGGTTTCGTTTAGCCGAACTGAAAACCAAGTTACCGGTTAAACCGAGCCACCCCCTATAGCTGCCGACCACCGACCGTAAGAGAGGTCACGGTTAGTCGGCCAACGGACCGGTCGTTTCGGTTTTAGGCTCGGTTAGCCGGCCAACCGAAAAAATTACATTTTCCACAAAAAAAAAACTAAAAATTAATTAACAAAACAAAAATTCTCCACCACTCATCTCAATCCTTATCCTCCCTCTCTCTCCTTCCTTCCTCCACCAGACCACTTCTCTTCTCTCTCCTTCCTTCCTCCACCATTTCACACCCACCAAACCACTTCTTCTTCTCTCACCTTCTTTCTCCATGGATGAACATGCAGGGGTCGCCGGGGGCGGGTGCGTCGGTCGTAGCCACGTCAGCAGCGGGAGCCTCGGTGGTGAGGGCAGATGGGGAAGACACGTCGGCGAACCGGCTTCCGAGCTTCTCTCTTTCCTTATTATGCCTGGCGCCGAGCAGTGGAGGAGGCGGCGGGGCGCAGGGGGGCGGCGGGGGGTGCCGAGGCGTGGAGGCGGCGGGGCGCAGGGGAGGCGGCGCCGCGGCGGGGGGTGCCGATTTGATTCTCCATGACCTTGACTGTGGAGGCGGCGAGGCGGGTGACGGGCGGCGAGGCGCAGCGAGGCGCCGGGGAGGAGGAGGTCGTCGAGGCGAGGCGGCGGGCAGAGGCAGTCGGCAGAGTGTGTGAGGGTTGAGGGAGAACGAAGGCCAGCAGTGCTAGGGTTGGGAGGAGTTGGTGTATTTAAGAGTAGGCAAAATGACGTCGTTTCATCTCGGTCGGTTAGCGTCGGTTAGCCGGTTAACCAGCTTCGGTTTCTCGGCTAACCGCTTGACCACTGATCCCTTCCGTCAACCGACCGCCCCTCTGTTTTTTTGGTTTTCGGTTAGCCGCTAATCGGTGGTTAACGGTTTGACCGGCCGGTTAGCCTCTAACCGGCAACCGAAATGACAGCCCTAAACCGTAGTATATGGGTCGGGTGACTAAAATGACCAAACTCGAACCACCCAACATGTGTACACCCGTGACAGAGTATGCCTGTAGTTGAGGATGCTGAAGAAGAAGCTTAAACAAATCAACAATGAGTTCTATTCGGATATTTCTCTAAGGCAGTGTTATTAAAGCCGACTCGAGCCAATAGGTCGGACCATCAAAATCGGCACCCGGAGGCCAGACCGGCCCGAAACGTCTTACCGGTTTTTTTTATTTTTGGCCATCCACTGGAAAAAAAATGAAAAAAATTGACGGGAGGTGAGGCGACTGGAGTGGTAAGGCTCGGATTGTTGTCGACTTCGCTGCTCCATTCATCTATCAAATCGAGATCGCATAGGTGAATACCGCGAAGATGGTCGAGATGGTCGTCCTTTGGACATGGTGGCGGATCTGAGAACGCGGTGAGCGAGGTGGAGGAAGGGTGGGGGGTAGGATTTTGTGAAGAAGAATAAGGTGATGGCGGTGGGCGCGACGAAGACGGTGGACCTATTGTGCGCTTCCTGTCAGAGATTTGCCACAGGAGGCGGTGAGGCTGGATGTGGTGGCGGCAGGGTGGGGGGTAGGGTTTTGTGAAGATAGTAGAAAAAGAGAAGGATGAAAATTAGAAAAGTGTAAAGAGATTATTGTTTTTGAGAGAGAGTGAAGGTGAAGAAGGTGCGGCGGTCTTTGGGATGGGGTTGGTTAGGATTTTTTTTTTAAATATATATAATATGTAATATTACTAAATGGTACTTGGTAAATTTTATTGTAGTTATTAAATTATTAAATTGCTATCTTATTTGTCTTCTACTTATGATATTATTGTTTATATAAGGTACCGGTTTTTTAACAGTCAAATACCGGTTAAACCAATAAAGTGTGAGCCGTTCACATTACCGGGTCATAGTCCGGTTCGGTTCTGACAACATTGCTCAAAGGGCTAGAGAGGCTGAGAAGGACTTAAGAGAAGTACAAGAGCTAGCTTTCTTTAACCCTTCCTCTGACTTACTTGAGCAGGAAGCAAAGCTTACAGTTGACTGTCTGCTTTATCAGAAGGCTGAAGAGGGTTTTTTAGACAAAAAGCAAGGATCCAAGTAGTCTCAGAGGGTGATAAGAACAATGCATATTTCCATCAATCTTTAAAGATAAGGGAACACACAAGTACTTCGAGATCCTTCTCGTTTTTCTTGGTATTGGTCCATGTGCGGTCTTCGTGTCTCTAAACGACTGCGGAGGTCTCCCAGCGTCAGATACTTGAGGCTAGCTTTGAACTCCTTACACTCTGCGGTGTCATGGGTGGTGATTTTGGGCCAGTTGCACTACTTTTTTCCATATT